AGCTGAGATGGCGCCATTGCACTCCAGCCTGGGTAACAAGAGCGAAACTCCATCTCAAAAAAAAAAAAAGAAAAAGAAAAAAGAAATAATTATGTCATTTCCAAGTGGTTAATATTCATTTGATTCTATTTATGTTGAATATATATGGTCTGACATTATAGGTCATGTTTTTTCAATTTTTGTTAATTTATCATGATTCTCTGTGTGTCCTTAATGATACATGATTGTTCCATGGGTCTAATTAAAACATTGTGCATTCTCTATTATAATGAAGTTCAATGTATAACTATTACATCAATCTTATTAATTATGTTATTGAGATCCTACATGCTCTTAATTTTAGTCTTTTTGCTCTGTCATGGTTGACAGCGGTCAATTAAATTTTCCTATTACTATTAAAGTGTCTATTATCATTAAAAAATAAAAAGAAAAAGAAAGTCCACATCTTAATTCCCAGGACCTGAGAATATGTTACTTGGCACGGTAAAAAGAGATTTTGTGCCAGGCGCAGTGGCTCACGCCTATAATCCCAACACTTTGGGAGGCCAAGGCAGGTGGAACACCTGAGGTCAGGAGACACCCCATCTCTACTAAAAATACAAAATAATTAGCTGGGCATGGTGGCACCACATGCCTGTAATCACAGCTACTTGGGAGGGTGAAGCAGGAGAATCCCAACACAGGAGGTGGAGGGTGCAGTGAGCCAAGATCACACCATTGCACTTCAGCCTAGGCAACAAGAGCAAAACTCTGTCTCAGGAAACAAAACAAAACAAAAAAACAGATTTTGCTTGCATGATTAACTTAAAGACCTTGAAATGGAGAGAGTTTTCTGGGTTATCCAGGTGGGTCCAGTATCACAGAGAATCCTTCCCAGCTGGCGTCACAGGCCAGGGAGATGCAACATTGCCAGCTTTGAAGAAGTGTAACATGAGCCAAGAAATGTAGCCTCTAAAGGTTGGAAAAAGCAAGCAAACAGTGGTCTCCTAGAACAACCAGATAGGAACACAACTGTGTCAACACCTTGATTTTAGCCCAGTTAGGCTAGGGTCAGACTTCTCACCTAGAGAACTAGTTAATAAATAATAAATGTGTTGTCACTAAATGAGCTGTAATTTGTTACAGCAACAACTGAAATTACTATACACACTCAAAAAAGATACGGTGAGACAAATCAGCAAGATTTAAACAGGGATTTGGTGTCAGTCATGTTGGCTCATGCCTGCGATCCCAGTACTTTGGGAGGCCAAAGCAGGAGAATCGCTTGAACTCAGGAGTTCAAGACCAGCCTGGGCAACATAGTGAGACCCCTCTCTCTACAAACAAATTTTAAAAATTAGCCAGTTGTGGTGCTGCAAACCTGTAGTCCTAGCCCCTTGGGAGATTAAGGTAGGAGGATTTCTTTCTTTCTTTTTTTTTTTTAATAAAGACGGGGTTCCACCATGTTGGTCAGGCTGGTCTTGAACTCCTGACCTCAGGTGATCCACTCGCCTTGGCCTCCAAAGTGCTTGGATTATAGGCGCTAGCTACCACCCCCGGCCAGGTGGGAGGATTTCTTAAATCTAGAAGGCCAAGACTGCAATAAGCCATGATCGTGCCACTGCACTTCAACTCTAGCCTGGGCAACAGAATAAGAGCTTAAAAAAAAAAAAAAAAAAAAAAAAAAAAAAAAGCCAGGAATTGGGTATCAGATGAAATATTGAAGAATTAATGTTAATTTTTGATAGGATATGGTCATACTATTTGGGCTTTTTTTTTTTTTTTTTCCAAGACAGAGTTTTGCTGCTGTTACCCAGACTGGAGTGCAATGGCACGATCTCGGCTCACCGCAACCTCTGCCTCCTGGGTTCAAGCAATTCTCCTGCCTCAGCCTCCCGAGTAGCTGGGACTACAGGCACACACCACCATGCCCAGCTAATTTTTGTATTTTTAGTACAGACGAGGTTTCACCATGTTGACCAGGATGGTCTCTATCTCTTGACCTCGTGATCCATCCGCCTCGGCCTCCCAAAGTGCTGGGATTATAGGCGTGAGCCACCGCGCCCGGCCTTCTATTTGGGCTTTTTAAACTTTTTTTGTTAGAAATATGTACTAAAGTTTGGGTGCGATGGCTAATGCCTGTAATCCCAGCACTTTGGGAGGCCAAGGTGTGTGGATCACTTGAGGTAAGGAGTTAAAGATCAACCTGGCCAACAAGGTGAAAGCCTGTTTCTACTAAAAAGACAAAAATTAGCTGGGCATGGTGGCAGATGCCTGTAATCTCAGCTACTCAACAAGCTGAGGCAGGAGAATCACTTGAACCCAGGAGGCAGAGGTTGCAGTGAGCCGAGATGGTGCCACTGCACTCCAGCCTGGGAGACAGAGTGAGACTTTTTCACACATACACACACACACACACACACACACAAGTACTGAAGTATTTATAAATGAAATGATACAACGATGTCTGAGATTTGCTTTTTTTAGTTTTTTGAGATGGAGTCTTGCTCTTGTCGCCCAGGCTGGAGTGAAATGGCACGATCTCGACTCACCGCAACCTCTACCTCCTGGGTTCGAGGGATTTTCTTGCCTCAGACTCCAGAGTAGCGGGGATTACAGGCATCTGCAACCATGCCCAGCTAATTTTTGAATTTTTAGTAGAGATGGAGTTTCACTTTGTTTGGCCAGGCTGGTCTCAAACTCCTGACCTCAGGTGATCCACCCACCTTGGCCTCCCAAAGTGTGATTACAGGCATGAGCCATTGCACCCAGCCGGATTTGTTTTAAAATAATATGCCCCCCACCAACCTTGAAAAAGGTAAGGTAAGGGTTCTGAAACCAAGGTCCAAAAATTTAAAAAAAAAATTATTTAAAGGTAGGGGGATAGGACAAATTGGCAAGAAGTTGGTTACATGTTGAAGCTGGGGGCTCGTTATACTATTATTGTATATACTTAAGATTTTCCATAGTAGGTTAAAAAAATGAATTAATTTAGGAGAGAGCACATGTATAGTCCAGATCAGCACTGTCCAAAAGAATTTTCTATAATGATGGAAATGTTCCATATCAGCACTGTTCAATGCTGTACCCGCTTACCATAAGGCTTTTGAGAACTTGAAATATAGCAAACACAATAAGGAAGTGAATTTTTCATATTATTATCACTTTAAAAATATTTTAGAGACAGAGTCTCACTCTGTTACCCAGGCTGGAGTGCAGTGGTGTGATCTCGGATTGCAGTAGCCTCTGCCTCCTGAGTTCAAACAATTCTCCTATCTCAACCACCTAAGTAGCTGGGATTACAGGCATATGCCACCACACCCAGCTAATTTTTGTATTTTTGGTAGAGATGGCATTTCACTATGTTGGCCAGGCTGGTCTTGAACTCCTGACCTCAAGTGATCTGCCTGCCTCGGCCTCCCAAAGAGCTGGGATTACAGGCGTGAGCCACCATACCCAGCTGAATTTTTCTCATTTTAAAATGTAAATAGCCACATGTGGCTAGTGGCTACCATTTACACTGTGCAATTCTAGATACTGGAAGACAGCCTTGCCACCTTACTACTGGAATTTGAAGTTAATAAGTACACTCACGAATCAAGTCAGCCCGCCGAGCTTCTTTCCCCTTTGTGCTAATAGCAGTATCCAGCTCCCAGTTCCCAATCCCATGCCAAGCCCTTTATTACCATAAGTGGGGCATGAGATCCAGGATATAGTACAACTTCTTCCTGGACATAGTGATTGGTCCAGGAAGAAAATAAGCAGAGCTTGGATCATCATAATCCTTGCTTGGAATTTTAAGACGGGGTTTCACCATGTTGGTCAGACTGGTCTTGAACTCCCGACCTCAGGTGATCCGCCTGCCTTGGCCTCCAAAGTGCTTGGATTACAGATGTGAGCTACCGCGCCCAGCCGGAATTTTCTATATTAGGAAGTGAAGCAGCTTCTTCAAATTGGATTTGTAAGGAGGGAACCCTAGAACTGCTGGCCATCATATTCCTTTGCCATGCTGAGAATAAAACCAAAATTAGGATAAAAGACAGAGACAGAGTCTTGCTTCTCAAGTACTTAGATCTAGTCAACCCTAAAATCAGCTCCATCCCTTCTTTCCCATGTTTTGGTTTGGTAAGCCAATAAATTCCTTCTTTGTTTATGCTATTAATAGTTTTGAGTTAAGTTATATCACTTGCAACCTAAAATAGTCTTAACACAAAGCCCCACTCAGCCTGGGCAACACAGTGAAATAGCTTCTCTAGCTACGCATGCCTATAGTTCCAGCTACTCAGAGGCTGAGGTAGGAGGATCATTTGAGCCCAGGAGGTCCAGGCAGTGAGCTGTGATTATGTGTGATTATGCCACTGCACTCCAGCCTGGGTGAGAGTGAGCAGTTCACTGCAGCCTTGACCTCCCAGGCTCAAGTGATTCTCCCGCCTCACCCTCCTGAGTACCTGGGACCGCCAAGTGCACACCACTGTGCCTGGCTTTTTTTTTTTTTTAAACAGAAATGGGATCTTGTCATCTTGCCCAGGCTGGTCTCCAGATCCTGGCTCAAGCAATCCTCCCGCCTCAGTCTCCTGAGTAGCTGGGACTACAGGCATGCTACCATACCTGGTTAATATTTTTGTATTTTTAGTAGAGACAGGGTTTCACGATGTTGGTCAGTTCTTGAACTCCTGACCTTAATCAATCCACCGGCCTTGGCCTCCCAAATGCTGGGATTACAGGTGTGAGTCACTGCTCCTGGCCTTGATTTTTAGTAGAGACGGGGGTTTTACTATGTTGCCCATACTGGTCTCCAACTCCTGCGCTCAAGTGATCCTCCTGCCTACCCCTCCCAAAATTCTGGGATTACAAGCATGGGCCACTGTGTCCAGCCTTGCTTTTTTAAATAACAAAAGATTCACCCAGATATGCACTGAAATAAAAAAAGTTTTCAGCTTGATTAAGCAGCAAGAATTATCGTATTACTAGTAATGGGCATAACATTCTGGGAGGAAAAAAAGTCATGAATCAGTCAGATGCAAGCATCAACCTGTTTAATTGTTCATACTTTATTCTTGTATCAGTAGGTTAAGAGAGTAAACTTTTCCCAAGCACTGATTTATAGATCATGTTTATAAGCAGCACACAAAAGTAAGTTTCATAAACAATAACATTCAATGATCTACTTAAATCCATTTATAATCCTTAAAGCTAAGGGCAATAATTTAATACAATAGACTAAATACACACAAAACCTGTATATCCAGAACCACAAACATGGTTTCCATAGCCACATATGGTTTAGCCACAAAGGACACATTTCCACAATGAACAAGTACTTACAAATATGTAAATAAAACACTAACCCAAATGCTTATCCTGCCATCAGCTTTTTAAGCAATGCCATTCCTGCTACTGAAAGCATTTAGTTTTAGAAGATTGAATCTGATCTGGGAAAACAAGTTCTAAAACTTAACAGGATGTTATAAGTCCGAAAAGATTTTATCTCAAAAAGCCTTCCAACACAGCATTATTTATGTGAAACTTAGTTTCTTTTTTTTTGAGACAGAGTTACGCTCTTGTTACCCAGGCTGGACTGCAATGGCGCGATCTCGGCTCAGTGCAACCTCCGCCTCCCGCCTCCCGGGTTCAGGCAATTCTCCTGCCTCAGCCTCCTGAGTAGCTGGGATTACAGGCACGCGCCACCATACCCAGCTAATTTTTTGTATTTTTAGTAGAGACGGGGTTTCACCATGTTGACCAGGATGGTCTCGATCTCTTGACCTCGTGATCCACCCGCCTCGGCCTCCCAAAGTGCTGGGATTACAGGTTTGAGCCACCGCGCCCGGCCATTCTGAAACTTAAATTTCTTAAATGAAAATAATAACTTGTTATCTGAAGAAAATTAAAACAACTTATCTTTTAAAAGAGATAAACATTCTTACAAAAAACTGTATTTTCTCCATCATCTCTTTAAAATAAATGCAAACCAGTTCATTATCTATATTTATTTGTTTGAGACAGAGTCATTCACACCTATTGCCCAGGCTGAAGTGCAGTGACACCATCTCAGCTCGCTGCAATCTCCACCTCCTGGGTTCAAGCAATTCTGCCTCAGCCTCCCAAGTGGCTGGGATTACAGGCAGGTGCCACCATGTCTGGCTAATTTTTGAATTTTTAGTAGAGGCGGAGTTTTGCTATATTGGCCAGGCTGGTCTAGAACTCCTGGCTTCAAGTTATCCACCTGCCTTGGCCTCCCAAAGTGCTGGGATTACAGGCATGAGCCACCATGGCTGGCCCAGTTCATATCTTTAATAATGTTTAATAATAAACTAGACTAGTACTAATTGTTGTCTTAAAACTTCCGAATACATAAAGTCCATGTCTGAGCTGTCAAGTCAAAAATGCCATTTAGATTTCTCATATTAAACAGCTACAGTATAGCTTACAAGGGCATAAACATACCTAACACTTAAATACTGCTTTATCCTTTAGATAGTCAAAAGTCAGAAGGAACTGCATGGTTTGCAAGGTACTGTGATTTGTGAGTGGTCATTAAAACCCAGTAATTCAAGTATGGTAATATAAAGGCAGGCAATTAAATGCACCAATATCACTCTAAAATCAAAGGCATAAAAATAAAGGCTGAGGCTGGGCTCAGTGGCTCACGCCTGTAATCCCAGCACTTTGGGAGGCTGAGGTGGGTGGATAACCTGAGGTCAGGAGTTCGACACCAGCCTGGCCAACATGGTGAAACCCATCTCTAAAAAGTAAAAATAAATAAAGGCTGAAAACTTTGTGTTTCTCCATCTTTCATTTCCATGGCTAGATATCAGAACCTTACTTTGGAAGATACACAGTTATTATATATGATATCCCCAGATGGCAATTTTCAGAAACTACAAAAAGTGTCAAGATCCATAGTTTGCTTCATCAAATGCTTTTCTAGCTCGTTTCAATTCTTCATTCATAGTAAGCAAGTCTTTAACCCTGGCAAATTTCCTTGGGTCCTTTCGAATCAAGAAGACGATATCCTCAACTTGTACTCGACCTTGTCTTCCAATGGACATCGCCTTGTGAGTCTATTACAAAGAAACATATTACATTTCATTTTTAAAAATCTAACATTTTACTGTTTTAATTTGCATTTATTAATTAATTGCAAGTGAGGTTGAAGATTTTATCTTATTATGGCTATTCATTTGTGAATTATCTTTCTACTCATGTCCTTTGTCCATTTTCTTTCTTTTTTTTTTTTTTTTTTGAGACAGAGTCTCGCTCTGTGGCTAGGCACCAGGCTGGAGTGCAGTGGCGTGATCTCGGCTCACTGCAACCTCCGCATCCCAGGTTCAAGCAATTCTCCTGCCTCAGCCTCCCGAGTAGCTGGGACTACAGACATGCACTGCCACACCGAGCTAATTTTTTTTTATATTTTAGTAGAGACGGGGTTTCACTATGTTGGCTAGGATGGTCTCCATCTCTTGACCTCATGATCTGCCCACCTCGGTCTCCCAAAGTGCTGGGATTACAGGTTTGAGCCACTGCGCCCAGCCCTTTGTCCATTTTCTACTGGGTTAGCAATGTTCCCCTTTATGCTTCAGAAGCACTTTAAAAAAATCTTAAGGACATTAAAACTGTCAAGACATTAAAACTGTCAACTTTATTGTTCCTTTTTTGTTTTTTGATATATGTAGATTTTGTCTTAATTTCTATAAAATAATTTCATAATTATGTGTACCCATCCATTTCATTTTTACTTTGTGTCCTCCTCCATCTTAATACCTAATAAATACTGGTGGGTTTTCTAAAAATCAAATAACTATCTCATCCCATCATTATATACTCACCTGTGAAAAATCGAAGATCTATCATAACATTATTTCTCTTTTTTTATTTTTAAATCTCATTTTGAATTGTACATAACATTATTTCTAATGACATAATAGAAAAATAGAAGCTAAATACTTAATAATATGGCATTAAGCCAGACATAGTGGCTTATGCCTATAATCCCAGCACTTTGGGAGGCTGAGGTGATAGATCACTTGAACCCAGGAGTTCAAGACCAATCTGGGCAACATAGTGAGACCCTGTCTCTACAGGAAATTTAAAAACTAGCAGAGCATGGTGGCATGTGCCTATAGTCCCAGATATTTGAAAGGCTGAGGTAGGAGGACCACATGAGTCCAGAAGGTCCCAGCTGCAGTGAGCAATGATGCCACTGCACTCCAGCCTGGGCAACAGAGTGAGATCCTGTCTCACACACAGACACACACACAAACATTGTATATCTTTAAATACTGGAAAAGGAGGGGGGAAAAAACCTATGTTGAATAATGGCATTACGGGTAATATTTTTATTTGACTCAAGGATTTTATAATTATGTCCTTATAAAAAATGGAAGAACGGGGAATAGAATATATATGTATAACCCCTATCCTTAATAATAGTAAACAGTAAATTCTGCAAACAAGCACTCAAATGGATAGCTTATTTCTAAGGGATGCCATAAATTCTAGTCTTATCTAAAGTTTAATATTTCGTGTTTTTTTTTTTTTTTAGACAAGAGTTTTGCTCTTGTTGCCCAGGCTAGAGTGCAATGGCACAATCTAGGCTCACCGCAACCTCCACCTCCTGAGTTCAAGCCATTCTCCTGCCTCAGTCTCCCAAGTATACGGGATTATAGGCATGCACCACCACACCCAGCTACTTTTGCATTTTTTAGTAGAGATAAGGTTTTTCCATGTTGTTCAGGCTGGTCTCAAACCCCGATCTCATGTGATCCACTGTGCCTGGCTAAGTTTAATATTTCAAATCCATTCTTCAATTACTAAGACCAGTTGTGAAAGAATCTTACCATTTCAATAAAACAAAAACAAAAACAAACAACAACAAAAAAAGATTCTTACCATTTCAGTGATAAACTCTATGACAAGATCTTCAAGAATATCCACTGACTCAGTATAAGGATTCTGGTCATCCCCAAAGCCATACATCATACATCGCACTGTAAAAGAACGATCACTTTTGTTCATTTTTACAGATTTAACAATTTGATATTTTAAAAATTAACTAGAAATCAACCAAGTTATAGATAATATTGGTATAAAAACATATTTACATTGTATTTGTTGTCTCCAAGTATGGATTCTGGTTTAAAAGGTTTAAGCATAGTCTGATGACCAACTGTTCCCACTTAACCTCCAACAAACTCTTCCTTCCTCCCAGCTACTGAACCCTAAGGTAAAGTCTTTCCCTAATGTCTAGCATCTACTCACCAGTCTCTACCCTCTCCCTCCCCCAACACCTTTAAGTAGGAAACTCTGGCAGGGGACAGACAGCAACAGCTTAGCCTTTCCTGGCGGTGCTTTTTGTGTGTAGACATGGCAGTGGGGCATTGGAAAAAAGGCCGACTCTACTAATTACAAAGGGGAAAAGACATGAGAGAAAGTATCCAAATGCCTTCTTACAGGAAGAAACAAGGTAATCAAAATGAGAAAGGAGAGGGCTTATTACAAAGATTTTTGATTTTTTTTTTTTTTCCTGAGCTGGAGTCTCGCTTTGTCGCCCAGGCTGCAGTGCAGTGGCACAATCTCAGCTCACTGTAACCTCCACCTCTCAGGTTCAAGCAATTCTCCTGCCTCAGCCTTCTGAGTAGCTAGGATTACAGGCATGGGCCACCATGCCCAGCTAATTTTTTTGTATTTTTAGTAGAGACAGGGTTTCACCATGTTGGCCAGGCTGGTCTCGAACTCCTGACCACGTGATTTGCCTTCCTCGGCCTCTAAAAGTGCTGGAATTACAGGCATGAGCCACTGTGCCTGGCCAAATGTTGACATTTCCTAGATCAGAACAACTGCCAGGAAAGCCCTTTCAGGCTTCATCCAAAGAAACCATAGGAAATACAAAAGGTAAATCTAGGTCAGGCACAGTGGCCCACACCTGTAATCCCAGCACTTTGGGAGGCCCAGGCAAGTAGACTGCATGAGCTAGGAAGTTTGAGACCAGCCTAAGCAACATGGCAAAACCCTGTCTATACAAAAAAAAAATAATATATATATATATATATATATATATATATATATATATATATATAATCTGGGCATAGGCCAAGATAATGGCTCATGCCTGTAATCCCAGCACTTTGGGAGGCTGAAGCAGATCACTTGAGGTCAGAAGTTTGAGACGAGCCTGGCCATCAAGGTGAAACCCCATCTCTACTAAAAAAAACACAAAAATCAGCTGGGGGTGTTGGCACATGCCTATAAGCCCAGCTACTAGGGAGGCTAAGGCATGAGAGAGAATCACTTGAACCCAGGAGGTGGAGGTTGCAGTGAGCTGAGATCACACCAGTGCACTCCAGCCTGGGCGACAGAGTGAGACTAAAAAAAAAAAAGAGAGAGTGAGAGAAGTCTAATATAGAAAAATAAAAAAAAATTGCCAAAAGATAAAATGTGTCGGTTCAGTGGCTCACCCCTATAATTAATCCCAACACTTTGGGAGGCCGAGGCAGGCAGATCACCTGAGGACAGGGGTTCGAGACGAAGCCTGGCCAACATGGTGAAGCCTTGTCTTTACTAAAAAGACAAAAATTAGCTTGGCATGGTGGGCACCTGTACTCCCAGTTACTCGGGAGGCTGAGGCAGAATTGCTTGATCCTGAGAGGCAGAGGTTGCAGTGAGCCGAGATTGCACCACTGCACTCCAGCCTGGGAGACAGAGACTCCATCTCAAACGAAGGAACAAAACAAAACAAAAAAACCCCACATATATCCCTTATTATATGCCAGGTCCGGTCATAAGTCCTTTGCATATATAACTCATTTAATCCTCACAATGATCCTTTGAGGTAGATACTACTAATTACGCCCATTCCATAGATGAGAAAATTAAAGCACTGTGTTAACTGATTTACCCAAGGTCACAAAGCTAGTAGAGATGGAACCTGAATTTGAACACAGCTAATCTGGTTCGAGTCTTTCTTCATTCCTACCCACAACAGCATCGCACTTGCTAGTAGTTGTTTAGGGCAGACAGGATCCATATGAATTCTTCCCCTGACCCCCGCCCCGCTCCCAGCTTTTTTGAGACAGTCTTGGCTCTGTCTCCCAGGCTGGAGTGGTGTTGTAGTCACAGCTTGCTGCAGCCTCAACCTCCCTGGCTCATGCAAGCAGCTGAGACTACAAGCACATGTCACTATGCTGGGGTAATTTATGGGGTTTTGGGTTTTTTTTTTTTTGAGACAGAAGTCTCACTGTGTCACCCAGGCTGGAGAGCAATGGCATCTCAGCTCATTGTAACCTCCACCTCCTGGGTTCAAGAGATTCTCCAGCTTCAGCCTCCAAGTAGCTAGGATTACAGGCATGTGCTACGACACCTACCTAATTTTTTTTTATTTTTTAGCAGAGTCAGTTTTGCCATGTTGCCCAGGCTAGTCTTGAACTCCTGGCCTCAAGTGATCTGCCTGCCTTGGCCTCCCAAACTATCAGACTTACAGGCATGAGCTACCACATCCAGCCATTTAAAATTTTTTTCTAGATACAGGTGTCTCACTATGTTGCCCAGGCTGGTTTTGAACTGCTTTCTAAAAATTTATTTATTTATTTATTTATTTATTTATTGAGACAAAGTCTTATTCTGTTGACAGGCACCAGGCTGGAGTGCAGTAGTGCAATCTCAGCTCACTGCAACCTCCACCTCCCAGGTTCAAGCAATTCTCCTGCCTCAGCGTCCTGAGTAGCTGGGACTACAGGCACGTTCCACCATGCCCAGCTAATTTTTAGTAGAGACGGGGTTTCATCTCTTGACCTCGTGATCCGCCCGCCTGGGCCTCCCAACGTGCTGGGATTGCAGACATGAGCCACCGCACCTGGCAAAAATTTATTTTTATTTTTTTTGTAGAGACAGGATCGCACCTTGTTGCCCAAGGTGGTCCCAAACTCCTGGACTCAAGCAATCCTCCTGTCTTGGCCTCCTAAAGTGCTGGGATTACAGGTGTGAGCCACCAAAACCAGCTGAGATCCACATGGATTCTTATCCTATTGTCTATAAACTCTTAGTACAGAGACAAGCTTTAAGAAGTCCTTGAGACTACCCTGAAATCATACAGAAAAATTTTACACATTATCTGTACGTGGGCATTTTTCTGGGAATAATTATAACTTTTATCAGATTCTCAAAGGGGTATTTGTAAATGTTAAAAAATGCTGTCAAATGCTGGAAGTGTTTTGTATCTTGATCTTAGTAATGGTTACGTGTGTGAAAGAGAGAGTACGTGTGTGTGTGTGCATACAGTTGTCCCTTAGTATCCTTGGGAGCTTGGTTCTAGGATTTCCCATGGATACCAAAATCCCAGATATAAAATGGCATAGTGTTTGTATATAACCGATGCACATCCTATCTGTCTGTCTGTATTTATTTATTTATTTTTGGGACGGAGTTTCACTCTTGTTGCCCAGGCTGGAGTACAATGGCTCAATCTCGGCTCACGGCAGCCTCCACCTCCCGGGTTCAAGCAATTCTCCTGCCTCAGCCTCCCAGGTAGCTGGGATTACAGGCGCACACCACTATGCCCGGCTAATTTTGTATTTTTAGTAGAGATGGGGTTTCTCCATGTTGGCCAGGCTGGTCTTTAATTTCCAATCTCAGGTGATCCACCAGCCTCGGCCTCCCAAAGTGCTGGGATTACAGGAGTAAGCCACCATTCCTGGCTATTTATTTATTATTTTTTGAGGTGAAATTTTGCTCTCGTTGCACAGGCTGGAGTGCAATGGTGCGATCTCGGCTCACTATAAACTCTGCCTCTCTGGTTAAAGTGATTCTCATGCCTCAGCCTCAGCCTCAGCCTCCAGAGTAGCTGGGATTATAGGCATGCACCACCACGCCCAGCTAATTTTGTATTTTTTTGTGGAGATGGGGTTTCTCCATGTTGGTCAGGCTGGTCTCTAACTCCCAACCTCAGGTGACCTGCCTGCCCCAAAATGTTGGGATTATAGGAATAGGCCACTGCACCTGGCCTCTAGATTTTAAATCATCTCTAAATCTCTTACAATACCTAATACAATGTAAATGCTATGTAAATAGTTGTTATGCTACATTGTTTAGGGAATAATGACAAGGGAAAAATGTCTGTGCATATTCAATACAGACACAGTTTTTTCTGAGTATTTTCCATCTGAGTTTGGTTGAATCCATGGATGCAGAACCCATGGATATGGAGAGCCAACTGTATAGTATACATAAAATTCAGCAAGCTGTTCACTTAAGACTTGCACAATTTATATCTAAGTTTTTTTTGTTTTAAGAGAGACGGGGTTTCACCATGTTGGTCAGGCTGGTCTTGAACATCTCACGATCCACCCACCTCGGCCTCCCAAAGTGCTGGGATTACAGGTGTGAGCCACTGTGCCCTGCCAGTTTTATTTTTTCAAAAAAAGATACTTGTAGAATACTTCTAAAAGAAGAAATGAGTAAATTAAGAAGAATAATTCTCCTATTTAGAAGAAACAAAAACTAGTAGAGGTGCAAAGAGAAGAAAGTAGAGCAGGTCTACAGAAGTAAAGGGACTTGGAAACCAGCCTGAGACAGACACATCCCTAGGGTTTACACTGGCAAGAGTTGTGAGGTCCAGAAACAGGAGGAAAAAAGCACAGGAGCCAATAGTTCCTATCTTTACTTTTTGGATCCTGTACTTTTTTTGCCTTTTTTTTTTTTTTGAAGATAATTTTAGATTTATAGCTGAGTTGCAAAAATAGTACAGAGTTCCCATATGCCCTATATCCAGCTTCCCCTTATGTTAACATGTTATACAAACACAGGGAGTCATCAAAGCTAAGAAATTAACAACGGTACAAGTACAGACTTTATTCAGATTTTACGAGTTTTTCCACCAATGTCCTTCATCTGTTCCAGGATCCCAAAATATTTAGTTGTCATACCTCCTTTGTTCCCTCCAATCTCTAGTAGTTCCTCAGCTTTTTCGTCTTTCAAAACTTTGACACTTGTTTTTTTAAATGAAACCATTGTTTACAAAAAACCTTGACAGTTTTGAAGAATATTGGTCAATTATCTTGTAGACTCTCCCTCAATTTGGGTTTCTTTGATGTTTTCTCATCATTTGACTGAAGTTATACATTACTAGAAAGAATACCAAGGTGATGTGTCCTCTTAATGCATCATATCAGGGGTACATAATGTCAATATATTGTACACTGTTGGTGATGCTATGGTGTCTTCCAGAATTCTCCATCGTAAGCTTACTGTTTTTGTTTAAATATTTTGAGGAAGATACTTTATCACTAACATTTTGATGAGCAGAATTCACCAGAAGGAAAATATATTTCACTGAAAAAGGAAACTTATTATATGGGAAGTATGTAAACTATTTGGTTAAAGGGTCTATAAAAGCATAAAGAAATGCGAGAGAATGCTTTGAAATAGGCCCACTGCAACCTCTGCCTCCCAGGTTCCAGCGATTCTTGAGCCTCAACCTCCTGAGTAGCTGGAATTTTTTTTTTTTTTTTTTTTGAGAGGGAGTCTCGCTCTGTCGCCCAGACTAGAATGCAGTGGTGTGATCTCGGCTCACTGCAACCTCATGTTCCCAGTTCAAGCGATTCTCCTGCCTCAGCCTCCTGAGTACCTGGGACTACAGGCGCATGCCACCATGCCCCGCTAATTTTTTCTATTAGTAGAGATGGGGTTTCACCATGTTACCCAGGATGGTCTTCACCTCCTGACCTCATGATCCGCCTCCCAAAGTGCTGGGATTACAGGCATGAGCCACCTTGCCTGGCCCTTGAGTAACTGGAATTATAGGCATGCACCACAATGCCCAGCTAATTTTTGTACTTTTAGTAGAGATGGCGTTTTGCCATGTTGGTCAGGCTGGTCTTGAACTTCTAACCTCAAGTGATCCTCCCACCTTGGCCTCCAAAGTGCTGGGATTACAGGCATGAGCCACTGCACCTAGTCTCCCCCAAGTTTTTTTGTTTTGTTTTGTTTTTGTTTTTGTATTTTTTTTTTTTGAGACTGAGTTTTGCTCTTATTGCCCAGGCTGGAGTGCAATAGTGCGATATTGGCTCACTGCAAGCTTTGCCTCCTGGGTTCAAGCAATTGTCCTGCCTCAGCCTCCCAAGTAGCTGGGAGTACAGGCGTGTGCCACCATGCCCAGCTAACCAATTTTTTTTTGAACGTTCTGGAGAACAGAACTTTCAGTAAGCTCTATGAATATTCAGGTAAGATAAGGAAAAGCCTAACGATTCCAAATTCCTGTCATCGCAAAGTAATCTCAGTGGAACAAAGGTCTTTGCTAACAACTAACTGAACATCACTCTGGGATGCTGTGGTATAAGGATCCCCTTCTTAGGCTGATATAATAAGTAAAATCACATAATGGTTTCAGTAGCATCAGAGAAATGAAATAGGAATTGGTCAGCTTTAGGAAGGAAATGAAATATGGAAAAGGATTTGGATGGTTAAAAAATAAAAAAGAGGCTGGGCGCGGTGGCTCAAGCCTGTAATCCCAGCACTTTGGGAGGCCGAGGCGGGTGGATCATGAGGTCAAGAGATTGAGACCATCCTGGTCAACATGGTGAAACCCTGTCTCTACTAAAAATACAAAAAATTAGCTGGGCATGGTGGTGCGTGCCTGTAATACCAGCTACTCAGGAGGCTGAGGCAGGAGAATTGCCTGAACCCAGGAGGCGGAGGTTGCGGTGAGCCGAGATCGCGCCATTGCACTCCAGCCTGGGTAGCAAGAGCGAAACTCCGTCTCAAAAAAAATAATAATAATAAATAAATAATAAAAAATAAAAAAGAATGTCTGACTGGGTGCCTGTAGTCCCAGCACTTTGGGAGATCAAGGTGGGCGGATCACCTGAGGTCAGGAGTTCAAAACCAGCCTGGCTAACATGGCGAAACCCCAATTCTATTAAAAATACAAAAAATTAGCCAGGTGTGGTACCGCGTGCCTGAAGTCCCAGCTACTCGGCAGGCTAAGGCAGGAGAATCACTTGAACCTGGCAGAGGTTGCAGTGACCCGTGATTGCACCATTGCACTCCAGCTTGGACAACAAGAGCAAAACTCTGTTTAAAAAAAAAAAATGAGCTGGGTGTGGTACATCAAGCTACTGCACTCTAGCCTGGGTGATAGAATAAGACTATCTCAAAAAAAAAAGAAGCTGGGTGCAGTGGTTCATGGCTGTAAGTAATCTCTGTAGTCTGGGAGGTCGAGGTGAGAGGATTACTTCAGTCCAGGAGTTCTAGACCTGTGCAACATAGTGGCACCTTGTCTCTACAAAATAAACTTTAAAATTGGCTGGATGCTGAGGGCAGTGGCTCACACCTGTAATTCCATCACTTTGGGAGACTGAGGAGGGTAGATCACCTGGAGATCAGGAGTTCAAGACCAGCCAGGCCAACATGGTGAAACTCAATCTCTACTAAAAATACAAAAATTAGGCCAGGCTCAATGGCTCACACCCATAATCCCAGCACTTTGGGAGGCCGAGGCGGGTGGATCACAAGGTCAGGGGTTTGAGACCAGCCTGACCAACATGATGAAACCCTGTCTCAAAAAATAGTAATAATAATAATAATTTTAAAAAATAAAAATACAAAAATTAACTAGGTGTGGTGGCACACGCCTGTAATACTAGCTACACTGGAGGCTGAGGCAGGAGAATTGCTTCAACCCAGGAGGCAGAGGTTGCTGTGAGCTGGAATTGTGCCACTGTATCCCAGCCTGGGTGACAGAACGAGACTCTGTCTCGGGGAAAAGAAAAATTAGTCAGGCATGCTGGCATGCACCTATAGTCTCAGCTGTTCAGGAGGCAAAGGTAGAAGGATCACTTGAGCCCAGGTGTTCGAGGTTGCAGTGAGCTATGATCATGCCAATGTACTCCAGCTCTGGTGACAGAAGAGTGAGATCCTTTCTCTAAGAAAATAAATGAAAATTGGGGGGATGAATGCATAACCACCATGGCACATGTACACCTATGTAACAAACCTGCACTTTCTGCACATGTACCCCAGAACTTAAGTATAATAGAAAAAAGAAAATAAATAAAAATTAAGGAAATACTTTTTCTTAAAAAAGATATACTGACTCTGTAGTTTCAAGGTCATTTGGGAACTGCTCACATATAACCCAGCTCACATATAAACCAGGTATTCATAAATCTGTGTTGCCTCATCTCTCACTACTTATATACAATTTTACATAAAGGACCCAGGACTGGGAGATGGAGAGCACATTCTCCTGCTATGTTCCAGGGCTTGGCCTGGACCATCAGTGGTAGGTAGCATCAGCTCTCCCTTCCTTGTGTTGCCAAAAAGAGTCAAACTGAGGGGGTAGGATGGAGAATCAATACATTATAATCTCTAAGCCTTTGTTTATTTTGTTTATTTATTTATTTATTATGGAGACAGGGTCTAGTTCTGTCACCAAGGCTGGAGTGCAGTGGCACAATTGCTTGCTCTACCTCCTGTGCTCAAGCAATCCTCTCACCTCAGCCTCCACAGTAGCTGGAACTACAGGGGCATGCCACCATCTCCTGCTAATTTTTGTATTTTTTGTAGAGAGAGGGTTTCACTGTGTTGTCCAGGCTGGTCTTGACCTCCTGGGCTCAAGTGATCTGCCTGCCTTGGCTTCCCAAAGTGGTGGGATTGCAGGCGTGAGCCACTGCATCCAGCCTCCCTGTCACTACAATGCCTTACACTATTCACCAGCTTTTTTTTTTTTGAGACAGAGTCTTGCTGTGTCACCCAGGCTAGAGTGCAATGGCAGTCTTGGCTCATGCAACTTCTGCCTCCTGGGTTCAAGTGAGCACATTCAGCTAATTTTTCTAGTTTTAGTAAAGAGGGAGTTTTATCATGTTGGCCACGCTGATCTCAAACCCCTGATCCCAAGTGATCTGCCTGTCTCAGCCTCCCAAAGTGCTGGGACTACAGGAGTGAGCCACTGCACCCAGCTGTTCACCACCTTCTTCCTTTGTTCATGGCCTTAGTCCAAAGCCCCAAGCCCTAACTCACTTGCTATTCTCCTCTCAACACCTGTTCCAGGATCCATTATTACCTGTGGCTTACAGTCAAAGGAGTCTCCATTTTTACTGCTGTAAAGGCAGAGAAAAACTAACGGAGACATGTTCTTCTGCCCTAAATTAAAACACTAATTACATCTGCTCACTTAAAAAGCCATTTATACACACACACACACACACACACACACACACAGACAAAATTGGTTAGGATCGGTACTATCTGATTGAAAAGTTAAACAGAATTTTATAGGCAAGTCTGAGAATATTGTCCCTACAGGGATACATTCAAAACAATAAATCTACTTTGAAAGGACATGCCCAAGAGTTTTCATCATCTATAACAAAATCATTGTCAAATACTACTTACATTCTTTAGAAAAAAGTCTCTTTCTTTTACCCTGTCCACCTTCTGCACCTCCTCCAATTTCTTCATTTTCTTCCTCAAACTAAAAGTTAAAATGTATATATAAAAATGTCAAGTGATTTCATTGCATTTGCTATTTTAATAATTAACACATTTTTTTTCTTTTCGACAGGACAGAAAGCCTAAAGGAAGCAGCAAAAAAAAAAAAAAAAAAGAAAAGAAAAGAAAAAGAAACCTCAACACTGAAGGGACCTCTCTATCTAGTCCAACTTCCAACTCATGCAAGTTGGACTAGATAAATAGGGCTTCTACAACGTTCCTAACAAATAATCCTACTGCGGCCATGTGCGGTGGCTCATGCCTGTAATCCCAGAACTTTGGGAGGCCGAGGCAGGTGGATCATGAGGCTGGGAGTTCGAGACCAGCTTGACCAACATGGAGAAACCCCATCTCTACTAAAAATTCAAATTAGCTGGGCATGGTGGTGTGCATCTGTAATCCATGCTACTCGGGAAGCTGAGGCAGGAAAATTGCTTGAACCCGGGAGACGGAGGTTGCATTGAGCCGAGATCGCGCCACTGCACTTCAGCCTGGGCAACAGAGCAAGACTCCGTCTAAAAACAAAAACAAAATCCTACTACTTCTACGTGTAAGAGTTCTAATGACCATAGGTTTTATTATTTATTTTGAGACGGGAGTTTCGCTCTTGTTGCCCAGGCTGGAGTGTGATGGCGCGATCTCAGCGCACTGCAACCTCCACCTCCGGTGTTCAAGCAATTATCCTGCCTCAGCCTTCCCAGTAGCTGAGGTTATTTGTATGTGCCACCATGCCTGGCTAATTTTGTATATTTAGTAGATACGGGGTTTCTCCATGTCAGGCTGGTCTCGAACTCCTGACCTCAGATTATCCGCCCGCCTTGGCCTCCCAAAGTGTTGTGATTACAGGCACAAGCCACCGCAACAGGCTTATAGGTTTTATTTTAATGAACTAAGGTGGCCTATTGCTAGATAATGTTACGTTAAACAGTTGATACTGAATCAAATTCTACCTCCCTGTAGTAAGCAAAACTAATATTTACTAAGCATTTGTTTATACAGTGCTGAAAACGTTCCTGAAGTAAGCCCGTAACCCTATTTTACAACAAGAGAACTGATGTTCAAAGTTAAATAAATGGCTCAGAGAATGGAGATTTTGAAATCCTGGCTCTCTGACTTTCAATGCATTCTTTTCCCATTACTTCACAGTAAGTACAGTTTTGTTAGCAATTGAACTGTTTGGTTGATAGTGAGCGCTAACAGATGTTAGTTTTGACTTCTGATGATTCTGTAGGTGTTTCAAACAGTGTTTGGCAAATGCAGACCAAAATCAAGGGGAAAGGGGTCACAAAACCTCTTCCTTCCCGTCTTTCCCCACTTTCTAAAATGATCAATCCTAAGGGCGTGAAGTCCCCTAAATCTGTCGGCTGAATTCAGTAAGGCAAGCGGATCCGATCCTGAACTCTGCCTCCGCTACTGAGCCCGAGGGAGTGAAGAAAAGAGAGGTTTCGGACAGAGAGGGTCACTCACGGTAGGGTCCTCTTCCTCATCTGCCATCCCACTAGCCCGCCAACCCACCGCGCCCCGCCGGCAGGCTCCGAGCAAGTTATACTACTTCCGCCGCCTCACTTCCGGTGACGCGCGGAGCTGGGGAGGGGCCTAGCTGGCTGCGGCCTGCTGGGGGATGCTGGCACTCCGTCCTAGCGGCGCAAATGAGAGTCCTCAGCGGAGGAGAGGGGAGCTCCTCCCTGTAATCCCCAAGGAACTGAATACTAACAAAAGAAAATCATGGGCTAGGTGGCGAGTATCTCGTTGTCATCCTAGATTTGCTACTGCATATTGAATCACGGTTTCCTGTTCGGGACTGCGAAGCTAAGGATCATAGGAGGGCTAACCAGCTGTCCGTTATCTGATATAAATGCTTTTAATTTTTTTTTTTTTTTTTTTTTTTTTTTTTTTTTGAGACGGAGGTTCGCTCTTGTTACCCAGGCTGGAGTGCAATGGCGCGATCTCGGCTCACGGCCACCTCCGCCTCCTGGGTTCAGGCAATTCTCCTGCCTCAGCCTCCTGAGTATCTGGGATTACAGGCACGCGCCACCATGCCTAAATCATTTTTTGTATTTTTAGTAGAGACGGGGTTTCACCATGTTGACCAGGATGGTCTCGATTTCTTGACCTCGTGATCCACCCGCCTCGGCCTCCCAAAGTGCTGGGATTACAGGCTTGAGCCACCGCGCCCGGCCTGCTTTTAAATCATTTTAAAGATTTGTGGGGCCGGGCGCGGTGGCTCAAGCCTGTAATCCCAGCACTTTGGGAGGCCGAGGCGGGTGGATCACGAGGTCAAGAAATCGAGACCATCCTGGTCAACATGGTGAAACCCCGTCTCTACTAAAAAAATACAAAAAATTAGCTGGGCACGGTGGTGCGTGCCTGTAATCCCAGCTACTCGGGAGGCTGAGGCAGGAGAATTGCCTGAACCCAGGAGGCGGAGGTTGCGGTGAGCCGAGATTGCGCCATTGCACTCCAGCCTGGGTAACAAGAGCGAAACTCCGTCTCAAAAAAAAAAAAAAAAAAAAAGATTTGTGGTGCCACTGTTTCTAAGCACTGTGTTAATTGTTGGGGATATTGTCCACCACTAATATTCAAGACATGGTTTCCTGAGACTGCATCTAAAATTTTGTGAAGGTTGGGGTTTTGTTTTTTCGTTGTTTTTTGAGACTGTCTTGCTTTATCGCCCAGGCTGGAGTGCCATGGTGCGATCTCGGCTAACTGCAACCTCCGCCTCTCGGGTTCAAGGGATTCTTTTGCCTCAGCCTCCCGAGTAGCTGGGATTACAAGCGTGCGCCGCCATGCTCAGCCTTTTGTTTTTTGAGACCGATCCTCACTCTTTTCCCCAGGTTGGAATGAAGTGGCGCTATCAGGGTTCACCGCAGCCTCGACCTGCTGGGCTCAAGCCATCCTCCCACCTCAACCTCGGAGTAGCTGGGATTACAGGCGCACACCACCAACGCCCAGCTAATTTTTGTATTTTTAGTAGAAATGGGATTTCGCCACATTACCCAAGTTAGTGTGGAACTCCTGGCCTCAAACGATCTGTCCCCCTCGGCCTCCCAAAGAGCTGAGATTACAAGTGTGAGCCCACCTTGCTCGCCGGGGAGCGCTTTTGGTCGGAACAATGGTTGGGAAAACCACAGGCATTGGAAGGCCAGAGCTAGGTATATAAAATAAATGTCCTACAGTGTAACAGATGATGCTACATAAAGAAAATCCCGTAATACACACGATTTCTGAATGTCCTGCTGAACATTCTGTGGGTGAAAGGTCCTGAGACTTGAACCTATCTTTGTTATCTGAGACTTGAACCTATCTTTGTTAATAAACACAAAGCATTTTCCCATGCTTTTAATGTACATTGAATTTTCTGGGAATGTTATTACCCCAAAATTGTATTTTGTTTTGTTTGGAATCCATTAAGAGCTGTGTATTATTTCAGGAAATAACATCACCAAAAGCACATCACTTGTAATAATTTGAATAGTGAATACTGAAAAAAAGAACTTTTATTTAAGGAATGTGAGTCTTTTAAAATTATTAGGCCCAGAGAGGCATTAAAATGAGAGGCAGTCACATCCTACTTGCCCCCTTTTGAACTGTGTATTTAAGTCTTAAAACTGCTTGCTATTGCCACAAATATTAGTTATAAATTAGCCTAATTATGCCCCACCAGACACTATATGCCATACGTTATTGCTTGATAATGTTTAGCCAGTCACTAATCAATGTTATTTCTGTGAGCCAATGAGAATTCCTGAAAGACAGCTTTGATTCAGCCTACTCCCTGTCCTCATTCTTTTCCTTTAAAAATCCACTTGTACCTGCTGCTAATCTTAGAGTGTATATTCAGGGCAACTTTATGCTGCAGAGTTGCAATCTGCAAGTTTGGCCCAAATAAACTCTCTATTTATATTAATTTTGCCTCAGCGTCTTCCTTTTAGATCGACAATACTCACCCAAATCGGTCTTCATTCAAGATGATTCTACATGTAGGTACAAGCATCTGAAATCTCATTATACCCGCTAGTGCCATCATGCCTGAGCATTTACATATTGAATCATATGTTACTAGTTTCACTTTACCTTACGTTACCTTTCTGCCTGACCTCCTGGACACTGGATCACTGGATCCAGTTAGGGTACTAGATTATTTTAAAAAGTATGTGAGTAGGTAGATATATTAGTTATTTATTGCTATGTAACAAATTAGTCTGAAACTTAGTGGCTTAAAACAAATATTTATCGGCCGGGCATGATGGTTCATGTCTGTCCCGGCACTTTGGGAGGCCAAGGTGGGCAGAACACCTGAAGTCTGGAGTTTGAGACCAGCCTGACCAATGTGGAGAAACCCCATCTCTACTAAAAATTGAACAACAACCAAAAATTAGCTGAGCATGATGGTACATGCCTGTAATTCCAGCTACTCAGGATTACAGCTACTGAGACAAGAGAATCACTTGAACCCGGGAGGCAGAGGTTGCAGTGAGCGGAGATCACGCCATTGCACTCCAGCCTGGGCAACAAGAGCAAAACGCTGTCCAAAAAAAAAAAAAAAAAAAAAAAATTATCACACAGTTTCTGTGGGTCAGCAGTGTGGGTGCAATTTAGCTGGGTGTCTGTGGCTCAAGGTCCCCCCTGTTTCAGTCAGGATGTTGGCTGGGGCTGCAGTCATACCCAAAGTATTGATGGAGGAGGATTTGCCAGAGTCACTCACAGGTTGCTGGAGGTTTCAGTTCCTCCAGGTTGTTGGACTAAAGGCCTCAGTTCTTTACTGGATGTTGCCCAGAGGCCTCCCTCTGTTCCTTGCCACATAATCCTCTCCATAGGGCAGCTCACAATGTGCCAGCTGCCTTCCTCCAGAGGAGAAAAGTGAGAGAACCCAAAAGACAGAACTCACAGGTTTTTTTGTTGCCAAATTTTGGAAGTGACATCCCATAATTTCTGCCCTATTCTATTCACTAGAAGTCAGTAAAAAAGTGCAAGTAGGGCCGTGTGCAGTGGCTCATTCCTGTAATCTCCGCACTTTGGGAGGCTGAGGCGAGCAGACCTTGAGATCAAGAGTTCGAGACCAGCCTGGCCAACATGGTGACACCCCATCTCTACTAAAAATACAAAAATTAGCTGGGCATGGTGGCACATGCCTGTAATCCTAGGCACTCAGGAGGCTGAGGCAGGAGAATGACTTGAACCCAGAGGCAGAAGTTGTAGTGAGCCCAGATTGTGCTACTGCACTGCAGCCTGGGTGACAGAGCAAGACTCCATCTCAGGAAAAAAAAAAAGTGCAGCTCAAATTCAAGGAGAGAGGATCACATAAGGGCAAGACTATTGCAGGGGAGATCACTGGGGGCTTTCTGAGAGGCTACCTACCACAGTAAATTATATTATTTTTGAATTTCACTGGACAATAATGGAGATGTTGTATTTGTTAATAATATTTAAGGGAGATTATTGAGCCTGATAGGGTTGAGAACTGCGTTTAGGTAGTGATCCAGTGTCTAGGAGGTCAGGCACAAAACATGCACAGTGTCCGTTATCAGGGGATTAGACAGGTAAAATATGCTGGATGCACAGCATGGAGTACAATGCAGCAATCAAGCAGTAGATTTAGCAACATGGACAGAACTTGAAAACAGCGCTAAGTAAAAAAAGTAAGAAACAATAAGATCTATAACATAATACCATTTATATATATTTAAAATACTACTTATTTTACAGGAAAATATGAAAAAGCATAGACTGGCCGGGCACGGTGGCTCATGCCTATAATCCCTGCACTTTGGGAGGCCAAGGCGGGTGGATCACGAGGTCAAGAGATCGAGACCATCCTGGTCAACATGGTGAAACCCCATCTCTACTAAAAATACAAAAAATTAGCTGGGCACGGTGGTGTGTGCCTGTAATCCCAGCTACTCAGGAGGCTGAGGCAGGAGAATTGCCTGAACCCAGGAGGCGGAGGTTGTGGTGAGCCGAGATCACACCATTGCACTCCAGCCTGGGTAACAAGAGCGAAACTCCGCCTAAAAAAAAAAAAAAAAAAAATTGGCTAGGCATGGTGGCACACCCCTGTATGCCTATAATCCCAGCTACTCAGGAGGCTGAGGCAGGAGAATTGCTTGAACCTGGGAGGTGGAGGTTGCAGTGAGCCAAGATCTCACCATTGCACCCTAGACTGGGTGACAGAGTGAGACTCCATCTCCAAAAAAAAAGGGGGATTCAGCAGAGAGGTTATTGATAGAAGAAAGAAGTGGAGTTGTAAAAGAGTAATTTAGAAGGAATGGCAGAAAAAAAAAAAGAAGGAATGGCAGTGGTGGGATTATCAGAAATGAGGAAAGCAGGAGCTGGATTAGTGATGGGATGTGGGCAGGCAGGTAACGCCACTCAGACTCCAAAGCAAGGCAGAAGCTTTGCAGTACCACGCCTACCACCACTTCCACTCTCCATCCCAGGGTGTAGACTTCTACAGTGCTTCTCCCTAATTTGGGCTTAGTGAGGTAATTTTACTTTTTAAAGGGCTTTCAGAATTTCCACAATAGTCTTAACGCAGTCTTAACCATACTGCCCATACTCCATGGTTAAATATGCAGGCTCTGAGATCAGATAGGTTGA